AATGGGCCACATCAGAGGGGAGACAGTCTCTAGAAAAAGACTCCTCTTGAATAAGACACAGGGTAGAGCTACTATTTCAGGAGAAGAGTGGAGGATGAGAGACACTCCCAAAAGAAAACTGTAGCCCAAAAGATTGGCTAACTGATACTAGGCAGGCCTTATAAAATTACTCTCTAACCCACAACTGGGAAAGGGCCTGTACCCTAAACTCAACAGGGACTATAATTATGCTAATGCAGATGGAATCAGAATTAGCTATGGGACAATGGCCAACCATCCTTAATGCAGAGCCACACGCCAAAAACCTATGGAAAAAGCATGGGGATCTCAGGCTCTGGAAAAGAATTACCACTAAATGCAACATGAGTCTTGTACTCTAACTGCCCAGGTTCATAGATTAAATAAATCTACAAAGTATCCTATTGTACAATTAACTGGGCTAGGGGAAACTGAAGAGGATAGTTGCATAATGTCCACTGGATGAAGATGGGCAATCCTCCAAAATGAGTCTAGGTGGAACTTTATCTTTATCTCTCTCTCTCTGGGTGTGAACAAAAACGTGGTGTTTGGCTATGTCCCCAAAAGAAATGGAACTCTTTGATTTTTCCCAGGTCTGATCCTTAGTCTTAATTCCAATTAGAAATAATGTACATGGGAAAGGGAATATTTTGCTGGGAGGGTATACAGAATGAAACTAATACTATCAGACTTCTCTTATAAAAAAGACAAAGCACTCCCTCCCTCACACTGGAGTTTGGTGCAATACCAAAGAAATCAAACAGATCTACTTAAAATCTACTAATACCTAAGATAATCTTGATGCTAAAGAAACATCTTCCCTACAGCTAAAACTAAATACACCCCATGACATTAAAATCATGAATGCACAATGGCCCACAACTCAATTGGATTTGGCAGGTAATAAGGCAATCAAATTTCTCAGAGAGGCCAATAGGACAGACCACGATACACTTAACAATAAACAAGGGAGGGAACGACATCCTTGAGGTCATTAACACCTATGACCAACCATGCCAAGGTTTTGGGGCTGGCTATCATGTATGTTTCCCTCATTGGTGACCTTTCCTGAGATGCGACAGACACTCCTCCTCACCACCTTCATTATAATGCTCTTAATCTTATTTTATATGTGTTCTAGATGCTACCACAAATACCAGAACAATGAAAGAAAGCAATCACATCCTGGAAAGAAAATGGCAGGCCAATCCACCACCACATGAACCTTTCTGCTGTTTAATAACTCTGCCCATTCTGTCAGCAGGAAGCAGCAATGAGTAGCTGACCAATCCCCTGATGGCAGTTAGGGTTACCTCTTTGGGGAAATAATGAAAGAAAGAAGTTAGGTAGTTTCCTTGTTAGGTAGTTAGTAAGGGAAGAAGAGCCCTGGATAAAGTTAACTCCGAATATCCTAAAATGGACGTTGGATATCATAAAGGAGCCACAGACAAACTTTCTATTCCAACATGCCCCACATCAGAGAGCGGGTGCTTGTGGGGACATGCAGACAGTATAAGGCATGTGGACAATGTCTCCATACCTCATGGATCCAGAGCCCCAATCCAAATAACATCCCAACCTGAGTCCTGAAGCCCTTAACCCAATCCATGAGTTGAAAAACATGTTGTCAGAGGCTCCCAGTCGAACTGGTAATGGAGGTACTATACTAATTGAAAGATAACCTAGACGCCAGGACCTCTCCTTTTGAAGGACTCTGTTCTCACCTGCTACCCTCACTTTGATTAAAATATTAGCTCTATTACACTTTGGATCCTTTACTAATTTAACTGGTGGGAAAAAAGCTTGACGTCATATTAAGGCCTGTGGTGCCCCTGCTCACCCAACCATCCTGCAAGCCCTTACCATCATCACCACCATTATCATTGTATTCATGTTCTATTGAATTGCCTTACCCAGTTTTTCATGACCCTTCTCCCTTATGCCATCTCCAAGGGGTCAGAGACCTTTTCTTATTTGGCTTACCATTACAACTCCCATGTCTAAAATGCCACAAAGATACCAGGAAGTACTACTGGGTAGCCAAAACACACGGCAAAAGTAGGGAGAGTCACTGACTAAATGCAACCTTTCCAAACCTTCCCCTAGAATTCTGTTTAGTTTTTCTCCCCAAATTTAAGTGGAATCACAGTGAATCCCTCCTTGGCCTTGTCTGCCTTCTCACTGTGACAGCGCTACCATAGGAAGGAGAAAGAGCAGTTATCACTGAAAAACAAAACACGTGTACTAATAACAACTGAATTAATCTATTTAAGGCATATGCTAACAGTTTTCAAAATAACCCACCCAAACCTTCACAAATTACTTCTTCCAGTCCTAGTCTTTTCAATCAAAGCATACACTAGTCTCACAGAAGTACCATTGCCACTTGGGATCACCATGTTAAGATACCCAAGACCTTCTTTTCAAAGCAGGGGAAGGAAGTAAAAGTGGTAGACAGGACTGGCTCACTGTGTGCTTCCTGGTACTTTTAGTTTTAAGTGGCAAAACATACTAAAATTTTCTGATCATGTCTCTTCAGAGACACCTCAATGGTACATTTTAGCCTACCATGCTCAAGGCCATGTGTTGTGGATGTTGTGGTTTATAACACGCAAATATGTTAAAATTCCAGGTTGGGATATTTAGTTAGTCCACACCTGTTAAGTCTCTCGTGGGGAGCGTGGTCTTTGCCAGGCGGAATTAGTTGAATTCTGAGGACTTTGAGGGGCATAAATGGCAGCCCAAAGGAAGAAGGCGTGGCTGCTTGGAGGAGGACTGCTTGCTGCTGGTTCGTCCTGCTGCTGCATTTCCTGTTTGCTGATCTGCTGGTGACCTGGACTTCTGGACAACTGATATTGGTGTTGCCCCCCAAAAGAATCCTGCGACCCTACCCAGCAGGAAGTAGCAGGGAGAACTGCGGCCCTGTCTCAGCTAATCTCTTCCTCCTACCTGGTGTTGGGGGTTGGAAGGGAGGTAGGAGCATTTAATAACCCTAAATAAAGTAAGCTTGTTAAAAATCAAAGTCAACAGCCCTGGGTTCAATCTCTAGCACAAAAATTAACACAAAACTTTTCAGATTGTGACTAGCTACAATAAAAATAAAGGATCTGCTATCTGTAATTTCACTGTTTCTCTTGCAATTTTTCCATTTCTAAAGGTATTTTCCATTAAAATATTTTTTCTTTTCTTCCTATTCATTTATTGTTACTTTTATTCAACTGAGGTAAAAATAAGGCCAAGTCCAGGCCCAGAAGGACAAATATTATATGCTGTCTCATATGCAGTTCCAAACTTCAAATCTTTTGTGTATTTAACTTGGAACAGAAGTGGGAGCCAGCAAATTAAAGGGGTCCTTTGAAGGTGACACATTAAAGGAAAGAGGATAGTAGATCATAGGGTGAAATGAATAGAGAGGTGGGATAGTGGGGGCATAAGGGCTTAACCAGGGAGGGGTCCATAGTATGGGGGTACTAAGGAGGTAGAAAGGAAGGCTAGCCCAAGGAAAAGGTACATGGAGATCTACTACCTTACAACTCAAATTTTAAAATTGGAGGGACAGAAGAATATATGCAAAGTAAGAGGAGAATTACTGGGTGTTAAAGGTGTTATAGGAATTAATGGTCAGGGAGGCCCCAGAGGTCTCCCAAAACAGCACAGGCTATTCTCATATAGCCACCAAACTACATGACAAGACTCTAAAGACCCTATTACTAAGACATTTTGGCTACAGGATGTACAAAAATAAATCTCAAACGAGCCAGGTAATTTCCTAATGCTGCCTAGTTCTCACAGGGCCAGAAGATACAATGCTGACTTCTGGGTAGGGCATCTGTGGTTCTAACCAGCTGGACCCTGAATGCTGCAGCACTGACCCACCAGGGAAGATATGCCTTCTTGTCTAACACTGGTACGGGATAATAGCTTTCTGGTTAGATTTGAGACCTGTTCCACAAGAAGGAACTTCATGCCTGGTACTTTACTCCTTGTCAAAATTTCATGACTCGGGAAATCACAGACCTTTGGGTAGAACCTGCCATTGTTATTTTGGTAAATGATCTTGCTGTCAAAATACCTATGTTTGTATCTATAAACCCAAGATGCTCTCATCTTTGATCAGAGAAGTGGGTGGCAGTCAATGGAGAGAAGCATAATTGGCCAAAGTGCTAATAATAAAAGACTGCGTGTTCAACCCTAGCACCCTACCCCCACTCCACAGCTCCAGGGACAAGGCAGAAAGGACAGAAGAGCCAGATGATGGGAAGAGGACTATGAAACTCTATATTCTAGACATGACGTGACAATCACAGTCATGAACTCACAACACCTGTGGTTATAAAATTCGGCCAGTAAGATTCCAGAACAGGCAGTCTCGATGACCCCCAGGCCCACCTCTTACCGCTATTAAGTTTCTAGGAGGGAATCATTCCTTTTGAGACTCATTCCATATGAGAATGTGGACACCAACAAGATCTCCATGCTTTGGTGGACAGTTCCAAACCCATGCACATACAGGTAGCACCAACTAGACTTAACAGGTTATTTTTTTTTTAAAGCACAAAGTTGGTTGGGGGATACACTAGAGGAGAGGGAAGTTGTAGAGAAGGAATTATATATATGATTGTATTTCATTATATGAATGCATGAAATTCTTAAGTATAAAATAAAAACAAATCCAAATTGCTTTTAAACTGTTAGAATTAGAAATATCCCTTTTCTACTGTTTACTTCTGTTCTTTTGAGACAGAGCTTTGCTGTATAGCTCAGGCTACCCTCACACTAGTGATCCTCCTGCTCAGACTCCACAGTGCTGGGGCTTATAGGCTATGCTAGCATGTTTGGCTCAAAAATACTTTTAATGTCACACCTCCCAGCAGCCTGGCAATTCCAAGCCAAGGACAGAACGTAACAGCTAATAAATGTAAAAACAAATAATAAAATACAGGACCCAGCTATAAGCTGAAACTTTGGCAAAATGTAATTACTTGATGCTTTTCTTAAGGGCTTTTTCCAGTTTCTTCACTTGTTGTTTATAAAGTCTTAATTCATGTTCTGTGGGCCTGTAGAAAAGAAATCATAATAAACATACTAAATTTATTGAAAAGATAAAATGCTTAGCAAACAACAAAAGATTATCTTGTTATGTTATCAATAAACAATTTATTCGTACATTGACTTTTATGTGTATGGGTGTTTTGCCTGCACATATATCTGTGTGCCACTTGTGTACCTGGTGCTTGTGAATGCCAGAAGGAGACACTGAATCCCCTGGAACTGGGGTCCAGACGGCTGGGAGCCACCATGTGGCTTCTGGGACTCAAACCCTAGTCCTCTGAAGAACAGCCAATGCTCTTATCTGCTGAGCCATCTCTCCAGACCCTTATTAAAATCTTTAATTCTTAAATGTTTATTAGGCATTTTGATTTATTCTGTATAATTACTTAAAGTTTTTATTCACTTTTGTGCTAATATGTAACTTGTTTCTGGTGTATACATCACCCAGCTTAGCAAATTTAGATATTAACATATCTAAATCTTTTACACTAAAACGTGTTTTCCTCTATGCTGGTTGGTTTCTGTCAACTTGACAAAAACCTAGGCATATCTGGGAAGATGGATTCATAGTCTTTTTTTATTTGTTTTTGTGTTTGTTTGTTGTTGGGGTTTTTTTTTTGTTTTGTTTTGTTTTGTTTTGTTTTTTTTGAGACAGGATTTCTCTGTGTAGCCCTGGCTGTCTCGAAACTTACTCTGTAGACCAGGCCGGCCTCGAAGTCAAGAGATCCACCAGCTTCTGCCTCCTGAGTGATGGGATTAAAGGAATGCACCACCATCACCCAGTGGAAAATGGACTCTTAAATGAAAAAATGCCTTAATAAAATTGGCCTGCAGGCAAGACTTTGGAGTGCTGTCTTGATTAATGACTATGTGGGAGGGCCCAGCCCACATCTGGGCCTGAGGTCCTGGATGGTGTAAGAAAGCAGTTTGAGCAAGCCATGAGGAACAAACCAATAAGCATACAAGTCCATGGCCTCTGCTTCAGTCCCTGCCCCAAGGCTCTTGCCCTGACTTTCTTGGATGATGGGCTATACGTAAAATGAAATAAGCCCTTTCCTCACAAACTTGCTTTTGGTCATGTCATCTGTTTTATCACAGCCACAGAAACTCTAGCTAAGACATCCTCATTAATGTCATTCCCCCCTCTCATAACAGGTAACAGCTCTCCTGAATGAATAAATAATAATAATTCATTATTCCCAAACATGCTTTTAGGTTCTTACTTCATCTTTACATGGTCCACAGCAGGTTTTCAGACTTTATGCTATGAAGCCACTGCATAACCCTTTTCATTAAATTATAAGTCTTTCGGTGGTACACATACACGCCTGTAATCCCAGCACTTGGGGAGGCAGAGGCAGGCGGTTCTCTGTAAGTTTGAGACCAGCCTGATCTACAAAGTGAGTCCAGGACAGCCAAGACTACACAGAGAAACCTTGTCTTGGAAAACAAACAAAAATTATAAGTCCTTTGAGAACAAGGGATTTATCTTGGTTATTGTTTCATCCCCTGGAATAACAAATGTCTGACCTTATTTAAAAAGTATTGAGTGAAAGTTTCATTCCAGGTCACCACTGCCAACAAGTATTTTCTTTTTATACCAAGGTTGCCTCTTTTCTGTAACAGAAACTATTGACTTTTCTGCTATAACACAGGGTAGAAAAAAAATAAAACATCCAAAAGTAATTTGGGAATGAGAAACCCACTGAAATTCAATGTTATGAAAGTAATAATATCAAAATCACCAAGTCAGTAAAATTCAAATGTTTTCACCTCAAAAATAGTAAGCATTTGAAGTAACTGATATGTTAATTAGTTTGATATAATTATTCCACAGTATTCCTAAATCACATCACTCTGTATCCCATGACAAAAACAACTAAAATTTGTCGATTTATAATTTTAAAAATTTAAATTTAAACATGTTATGTGAAGTTATGCAGACAAACAAGAAATACTGTGTGATCTATTTATACAATTATAGGAAATATAAAATAATGTCTGATAAAACAAATCCTAAGTTGTCTGAGGCACAGATAAGAAGGGTGTGAGGATAGAACTACATGAAGACAAAAATCCTTGGGATAATTATTTCAGTTGTGACTGCTGCACAAAGATCAATACTGTTAACACTTTTCAAATTATGTATTGTACATCAATCATACTTCACCAGAGGTAGCTTTGTGTGTGTATAGTATGTGTATGTGGTTGTGTGGATAGGAGCGTGTGCCTAAGAGCGCACATGAATATGTGTGAAGACCAGGAGATGGCATCAAGTATTTCATCACTGTCCATCTTATTTTTGAGATACGTTCTCTCACTGGACCTAGAGTCCATCAACTGGCTGGCTGTCCAGCCAATGAGCTCCAGGAATCTGCCCATCTTCCCTCCTCCTCCCAACACTGCACTTGCAGATACACACTGCTACAGCTTGTTACATGAGTGCTGTGGATCTAAACTCAAGTCCTCACACGCTTTCAAATGAGGCCACTCTCCAGCCCTCACTACAGCTAATTAAAACAAAACAAAACAAAACACCAAAACTAAACAAAGACTGAGCCTGGGCTTCAGGAGACATCTAAGTCTGATAAAGTGCTTGGCATGCAAATATGAAGACCTGAGTTCAAACCCAAGAACCTACTAAAAAGGCACGAGGTTACACCCTTATAATACCAGTGCTGGAAAGGGGTTGGTGGAGATCGGGAGATCTCGAGGGCTCACTGGCCAGGCAGGCAACCTATTCTAATTAGCAACTCCCCGCAGGACTCAAGGACTTCTGTCTCATAAAACAAGTTGGACAGCTCCAGAGGGATAATACCTGAGTCTGCCCTCCAGTTTCCACATGCATGAGCACAGATGTGCACACTCAACTGCACACATATTTGTCCCACACATATAAACACACAAACACAGAAAAGAAAACCCTGAATCTTCTCAAAGTTCTTACTCAGGTGTATCTTCAATGTGGATTCCTATTTTCTCATTTCGCTTGCTTGCCTAAGGACTCTTACTCCTTTGATCATTTGCCACAAAATACAACTAACCAGAAAAAGCACAGGAATGGCAAGTACTTGTGTTCAGCTTTAGAATAAGAGGGCAAGAATAACTATCTAATACTCTAAAAGATGAAGAAAAATCAAGTTTCTCTCACCTGTTTTCCAGATCTTTTTGGAGGTTCAGCTTTTCACTTAGCAGCACATCAATCTTGGATTTTGATTCCTTGAGTTGATTCTGTAACGACTGTAATGCATTTCACAGTAAAATCAGTAACTCTCCTAGGGGATTATTCTACTTTATAAAAAGGTATTTATCAGTTCTCCAGTCTCCCTACCATCAGAAGGCCTTTGTAACTGGGTGAGCCATCCAGGTTTCCATAGTCTTTTTCGTCCTCTGACTGACTGTTGTCTTCCTTATACTGCCTGTGGGAAGACAAACACACTGCATCTTCTGGAAATCTATCCTTATAGAGAATGTGTAGCTAGCAAAAATTAAGCCAATCTATTAAGGGCTTACTAACTTACGCGTGGATTAAGATTCCCAATTTGCTACTTGTTCTACAAAGAATAGTATCGCAGCACAGCACTACCTAGTCTTAGAGTGTTCTGTTTACTAACTCTTAGACTGTGAAGACAAGAAAACTTTGTTATGGGACACAAGAGGGGACACAAAATACTTGTTGAACGAACAAAAAAAGAACACAAATGGAACATTTCCTGGTCTTTTTAAAACAACACTGTGCACATATTATTTACTCCTTCTAGTACTTTAGGTCATAAAAAATTTAAAGAGAAAGTGCAGAGTGTAAGTGGGTAACAATACACAGTTTGTGCATAGCACACCTCACCTACCCTGCGCTTCAGACTTCTTAGATTACTTGTCATTCTTAAATACATTATTCACTTTTGCTGCTAGTGTACTCATCTAGCTATCTTACCTGTCTTTGAAAACTCTGTGGTCTCTGTGCACAGCCTACCTGGTCTCTCTAGCTCCCACCCCTCTCTCCTCTTGCCACACGCAGCAGCCCGCTGCCCCCTAATGATAGCACATATTGCTACGCCCCACATTTACTTACATGAGCACTGATATCATCTTTCCAGGGAGGCTATCAGCACAGGTCTCACTCTAACTAAAGCTGGCTGGGGGATTCACTATGTAGCCCAGGCCGACTTCAAACGTGTGGCTATCCTCCTTCCTTGGCTTCCTGAATGCTACAACCTCTACCTCAGCCTAGGATTATAGGTGTGAGCTCCCACACCCAGCCATATGTCTGATTTTCACTGACATTCTATCTTTAGTATTAAAACTTGCATAACTAAGTTTTGCTCTGCCCCACAGCCAATTACTACATATTATCCATATACTTCATGAACACACTTACTACCCAGTGATTATATAACAATGCTTCAACAAACTAAAAGGAAATATCACTTTTGTTGTTTAATGTAAACATAGTACATTCTAACCTAAGCAGTAAAATACAGCCTTACAGATCTTTATTAAAAGAATTTCAACATGAATTGTCAGGAAGATTTGAGAGGGAACACAGAATTTGTTGGGGAGAAATGGAGGGTAAATATTTTCAATATACACTGTATGCAGATGCAAAATTCTCAAAGAACAAAAAATATTATATTTGAAAAATAACTTATAATGATATAAAGACTCCATAGCTTAAAGTCTCAAAAGCTACAGAAATTTAATGTATACTTTATTCCTGGATAGCTTTAAAATTATATTGTTTATACCTTTCTCTATGGAGTTTTCGAAGTTTAGATTCATAGTAATCAATAAGACAAAGCAATCTAGAAAACAAAAATAATGTACCATTATTTTCAAAAGGTAGTATACACTATTCTACATAATTTCAAATTATAACGATAAAAATAAGTACAGACTAGGGATAGAGAAATGGTTTATCAGTTAAGAGAGCTTACTAAGGGGCTGAAGAGATGGCTCAGTAGTTAAGAGCACTGGCTACTCTTTCAGAGGACCCAGGTTTGATTTCTAGTACCTACATAGTAGCTCACAATCATCCATAACATAGGGGGTCCAACATTTTCTTCTGGCCTCCTAGGCACAGGCACACATGTGATACATATACATAGGCAAAACGCTGATACTCAGAATTTTTTTTTAATTTTTTTCTTTAAGATTTATTTACATATGTGTGCATATACAATTTGTGTCCAGGTACATGTGGAGGCCAGAAGAAAGCATCTGATCCCCTGCAGCTAGGGTTACAAGCTGTTGTGAGCCACCATGTGGGTGCTGGAAAGAGAACCCAGGTTCTCTGCAAGAACAGCAAGCACTCCCTACCTCTAAGCCATCCTTCCAGCTCTAAAGAAAGAAAGAGAAGGAAAGAAAAAAGAAAGAAGAGAGAAAAAGAAGAAAGAAAGAAAGAAAGAAAGAAAGAAAGGAAGAAGAAAGAGAGAGAGAGAAAGAAGAGAGAAAGAGAGAAAGAAGGAAAGAAAGTGTACTGCTCTTGCCGAGGACCCAGTGTGAAGCACATATAAAGGGTAGCTTGAGACCACCTCTAATTCCAGCTTTGAAGTTCCCAATGCCTCTGGAAACTTACAAGCACATAAACCCACATACACACATTATTAAAAAGAAAATCCTTTTAAAAGTAAGTACAAATTTTCTGGCAAACTTAAGAATTTTTAATCATTTTTACCAAAAACAAGTATATACACACTAAGGCATAAATATATAATTTCCACTAATATATTTATAAACATGTCCCAGTTTACTAAATAACACTCTTCCTGTCTCAATAATCCTACCTCTGGCAATCTCTCACAGAAATACTGCTCAGGGCTCAGTGGTTAAGAGCACCTGCTTCTCTTACACGGGACCAAGGTTTGATCCCCAGGACCCGCGTGGCAGCTCCTAACTGCCTAGGATCTAGTTCCAGGCGACCCGCCTCGTTCTTCTGTTCTCCGCAGCCACTTGCAAACACGTGGTGCATTTACATGTACTCAGGAGCACACATAAGCACACACAAAACTGAGAAATATTTTTGGTTTATTTTGGATTTTCTTCTGTGAGACAGGTTATCAATGGATGGCCTGGGCTGGCCTGCTTTCCCCTCCCAAGGGCTGGAATTAAAGGCATGCGCCTCCATACTCATTCATGGTTCATATTTTTTAACTAAATGTCTAAATCCAATCCTCAGGGAGCTGGAGAGATGGCTCAGTGGTTAGGAGCATTGGCTGCTCTTTCAGAGGTCACAGGTTTGATTCTCAGCACCCACAGGATGGCTCACAGGTGTCTGTAACTCCAGTTCCAGGGGTGTCTGACACCCGCTTCTGGCCACTGCAGACACTAGGCACACATGTGGTGCATATACATACACGCAGGCACAACACCTGTACACATAAAATGAAATTTAAGGTTTAATAAATTCATTCTTCAAAATACTCTTAAGAGAAAATTACATTCACACACACACACACACACACACACACACACACACACACATGAACTAGAAAAAAAGTCAACAGAAAAGGAGACTTCTATAGCAAGAGATATAATCACAGTCAAGATAAAATCGGCTTTAAAAAAAAAAAAAAATCAACCTAAGCCAGGCATGGTAGTGCACAACTCTGATCCCAACAGAGGCAAAGGCAAAGGCAGAGGCAGGTGAATCTCTGTGAGTTCCAGTCCAACCTGGTATACAAATCGAGTCCAGGACAGCCAAGGCCACACAGAGAAACCCTGTGTGGAGAAGAAAAAAAAAAAAAAAATCAAGTTAGTTCCATTATCATCCTATGTACTAGGCATTACTGTTTATCCAAGACTGAATGAGGAACTCTTCGGCAGAGATAGGCAAACACTCTATTTTGAATGATAACGCGCTCCTCTTCCTCTTTGGTAAATCTGTAGATATCCTTTTGCAAAGCAGCAATGGTCTCATCTTGGTCCACTAGTTTCTTCTTATAATGCTGGCATTTCATCTGTAAAAAAATTGTAAAACCATAATAATGATTTATACATGTAGACATGTTGTTCTATTAATACCTATATCACCATCTCCACTGAGCTATTTCATTCCATAGACTCAGCATCAAGGCTGCTAAACACCTGAGGTTTTTGGGTTTTTTTTTTTCTGAGTTTTTTTTCTTTTTATTTATTACAATTTATAAATACCTGTGACATTTATTCTAAGGGTAATGACACTGAAAAGCCTCATATTCCACATTTATAATATTAGGAAGTGTGCAAGTTTTTCTTGTGGGTATCATGAATAAAACAATTTTCTGTACAATGTGAAAGAAATTGATACAAGGAATATGTCACAAATGTGAAAACTTACAAAATGAGGAGCTATGCTTACTGCATGAAGTTGAGGTTTTAGGAATCTATATAAAGCACTATAATGTATTATTTCAATGGTTTTAGGAGACGGAGTCTCTGTGTAGCGCAGGCCAGCTTCTAGCTTGCCCTCCTGTTGTACCAGCCTCTAACTGCTGCAGTTGCTACCATGCCCAACTTAAATCTACGTTAAGATAAGAAAAATAATCAGACACTTACATACTAAAAATATTTTAAAAGAGCCACAACTGAAAATTTAGATTTTTTTAAAATGATCTGTGGATTGCAAATGATGTGGTCAGCTTGGACATCCAGGCACTAGAGAAGACTATAAATTCAGAATAGTTCCATAACTAGGAATAGTCAGTATGTGCCTTAGATTTATATAAAGTATCACATTAAAACAAAACACTTGTGGCTGAGTACATGGTCATTTGTCCAAGGTGTCAAATTTATTGAAACTGAGCAACCCTCAGAGGAGAAACAGTCTTAGTTGCTCTTAACATCCTCTCTTCTATGAAGTGTACAGTAATCCATCCTCTGCCTCAGCCCTCCATGAAACCAGGCATGACCTCTATAGTTAAGTGATGAGATGCCAAACTAGAAGTAATCATTGAGCTTGATGGTATCCACAAGAACGTTTTTGTACATCATGAATTTTGAAAATGTTCACCACTGTCTTATACACACACACACACCATTTAGCTCACTCATCTTTGACTGATGTCATGACTTCACTATGGAATGCTGCTGCAGTAGGCACAGGTGTGCAGTGTCTCTGCAGCGCGTTAACTGCAGTTTTTGGATACATGCCCAGGGAGAGTATACCTGCACCATACGGGAGTAAACCATTCTTGTTTAGCTTTAGTTTTGTGAGGAACCACCACACTGATTTCCACAGTGGCTAAACTAGTTTACACTCCCTTTGGAAAGGGTTCTCTTCTTCCCAAAATCCTCATTATCATTTGTTGTTGCTTGTTGTCTTAATTAGAGGCATTATGATACGTGAAATACAAATCTTAACATAATTTTAATTTGCATTTCCCTGGTGACTAAGGGCACTTACCATCATTTGTCTATTTTTGGGTCACTGGTACATCAATCTTTTGAGAACAGTCTGTTCATTAATTAACCTATTTGTCCCCTGATTACACTATTTGGGCTTGGTTTTTGCTTTGTTTTGGTTTGGTTTAGTTGTTTGTTTTTGTGACAGGATCTCATTATGTAACTTTGGCTGGCCTGGAACTCAGAGATCCTTCCGCTTCTGCCTCCTGAGTGCTGGAATTAAAGACATTTAACATCACTCCTGCCTGAATCTTTTTTTTGTTTTTGTTTTTCTGAGACAGGGTTTCTATGTGGAGCTTTGGCTGTCGCTTTATAGACCAGGCTAGCCTTGAACTCACAGAGATCTGCCTGCCTCTGTCTCCCAGAGTGCTGGGATTACGAGCATGTGCCACCTTACCCAGCTTCCTGCCTGAATCTTTATATATTCTAGATAGTAATCATAGCTAGTATAGTTTTATTGGTTGTCTTTTCAGCCTGTTGCTTGGCTCCTTTGTTGTACAGAAGCTTTTAAAATCCATGTAACCCTATTTGTTGATTCTTGGTATTCCATGAGTTATTGGAGTCCTTTCCAGAAAGTTCCTGCCTATATCTATACTTTTAAGAGGTTTCTCTGTCTTTTTCCTAACAGTTTCAGTTTAGAGTATTACATTAAAGTTTTTGAATGGGGTAAGATAAGGATCTAGTGTCATTCTTCTATATATGGATATTCATGTTTTCCTGTACTATGCTGAAGATGCTGTCTTCTTCCCCAATGTATAGATTTGGCATCTTTGCCCAAAATTCAATTGGCTATCTGATAAGTGTTTATTTTAGGGTTGTCTATTTCACAGATACACACATTTTTATACCAAACTTGTTTTGTTACTATAGTTTTGTATTTTAAACCAGCTCCAGCATTGTTATTTTGCAATCAGTACTGCTTTCACTGTCCTGGGCCTTTTGTGCTTCTGTACTTATATTGGGATTATTTTCTTCCAGAAGAATCCCCAGAAGCTCACAGGCCAGGTAACCATTCTTTGTACAAAATTCACTATTATCTGCACAGCGCTTTAGTCCATATGGTACAAGGCAATATAAGCACATAAAGAGAAATATGCTATCTATACAGACCACCAAGCCTTCAAAAGGTCACTGATCCATAATGAGAACTATGATCTCTACATAGGACATTATGGACTCAATACATTTCCAATATGAGCTTTCAACAGCTGGAAAAGGTTCTCTATTCATGAGCACTTCAACTCCACATAAGACATTATGAGCTCTGTACAGGTCACCATGAGCTCCAAATAGGGCAGCATATGATGTGCACAGGGCACTATAATCTACATAGAAGACATCGTGAATTTTATTAAAGAGGACTTCTGACCTCTATAAAGTACCCTTTAAGATGTACATACATGCAATGTGAGATCTCTGCCAGCACTGTGTGCTGAATGTAAGTGCACTGTGAGACAGAGAGGAGACTGTGACTCTACAGAACATTAGAAGCTTGTATAAAGGTGCATGAGGATCTATACCACCACAGGATGAGCTCTCAATCATGTGCACTGTGAACTCTATCCAGGGCACCGAGAGCTCTGTTTGGGGCACTTGGGGTCCATAAAGGGCACTACGATCTAACAGATATCATATGTCCTTTAATTAAGCACAACTTGAGCTATGCAGAAGCACACTATGAGCTTTATAAAGGACACTATGAGTTATACAGATACACTATAAGGCCAATACAACTCTCTCTCTCTCTCTCTCTCTCTCTCTCTCTCTCTCTCTCTCACACACACACACACAGAGAGAGAGAGAGAGAGAGAGAGAGAGAGAGAGAGAGGTGAGCATGTGTATGCACCCTAGGATGTGTATGTGGGATTATAAAGTTTAAACAGGTGCATAATGAGATGTAGTCATGTGTGATAAAACTCAGTGGAGACAGACTGACTCCTACACATGTCACTGCCATGGCACTGAACTCTATACAAGCTCACTATGAGAAATGTGCAAGGCTATGCAACCTGCACAGCTGTCTTGGCTCTATGCAGTACTACGAGATCTGTAATAGTCTTTATGGGATACAAAAAGAATACTAGAAATTCATGTACAAGAGCTCTACACAAGTGGACTATGCGATCTACATAGGACACAAGAACTCTAAACAGAGCATTAGGGGAGATATGAAGGCACTGTGAGCTGTGTACAGCGCAACATATGTACAATACAGAGCAAGAGAGTTATATGCTTGGTATTATGACATTATAAAATATTCATTGTATTGGATTTCTCTGCAGTACTATGACTTCTATAATATTCATTATAGGATGCATATAAAGCATTATGAGGCAGTTATAGGGAAATTGAGTGTATTACAGGGCAATGGGATCTATTCAGGCACTGTTAGCTGATACAGGACATGATAGCTCCAAACATGGTACTATGGTTGCTAAAAAGTAGACTTCGATTTACAAGTGCAGAAAAGTCCTTGTGTGGGCACAACGCACTACCAAGAGTGCAGTATGAGATGCTCCAGGCCTCCATGGTTATGCTCACGGCCTGAATTCAGTTCCCAGAGTCCACAACCATCAGCTCTCAAGCTCCTATAACTCCAGCTCCAGGGACCTAACACCCTTGTCTGCCTCCAACACACCCATACATACATGGTGTACACTCACACAGACCCACACACGCATCTTTTAGGGATACCCATGAAACTACAACATGCAGCCACATAGATGAGTCTCAAAACAGAGTACTAAATAGAAGAAAAACATTATTGGCCTATGTCAATGTTAACTGTTTTCCTTTAACAATCTTTCCACACACCTCAGACATTTGGATTTCCTTGATCTTTTTGCCACAGACATACACCACGGAACGGACATGGAAATTACCTAGGACTATGATGAACTGTTTCAACAATAACCACCAAATAAGAAAATATTTAAGTCAATATAATACCTGTAACGTTTTATGCTCCTTTTTAAGGTCTTTTATTTTATTTTGTTGCTGGCAAACCCTGTTTAGGGATTCATCTTCCAGTTCACCAATTTTGGATTTCACACTGTCGATAATCTGCTCCAGGTCATTGGCTCGCTGTTCCTGGTGTGCCGCTCGGTTCTGTTCTAGCTGAAGGTCCTTCCTTCAGTGTTAAAATAAACCAGAATATACATGCCATATAACAGCTTACTTTCCAAAATGTCTTCACATTCTAAATATTTCTCACTCTGTTTTGGTGTTGAAAATCAAAACTTAGCATAATTAGCACTGAACTGTACCTGTAAAACAGGTCTGCAGCCATGCTGATGCACCCAATCTCACCTATTTTATGAGAGAGTAATAGAAGAAATAGAGGGTACCATTACACCTCAGTGCTAAGTGCTACCTAAAGTCATCTATCTACTTAATGCTTGTCCATTTCTCTGTAAAAATATTTTTATATTTTACATTTAATAAAAAAGAAATTTCGGGGGGGGGGTGCTGAAGAGATGGTTTAGTGGTTAAGAACACTGGCTGCTCTTCCACAGACCCAGTTCAGTTCCCAGAACCCACATGGTGGTTCACAGTCATTCATCACTCCAATTCCAGGGGATCTGCTATCTTCTTCTGACCTCTGTGTGTTCAGGCACCTACATGGCACACTTAGATACATGCTAACAGAATCACTCAGACACATAAGTAAAACAAATCTTAAAAAATTAAGTACAATGAATTTTCAGGATCCTCTTTAGGCAAGTTGTTTAGAACGCATGCAAACAATACCAGGAGCGTTCCCCACTCCCTTACTTAAGCTGCTGATTTGTGTCTACAAGCTCCTGGATCATGAGCCGCTGCCGGGTTGTTTCTTCCATCAGCATTTTCAAATTCTGCCTCATTCTTTGTGATGATTGTTTGTCAAAAACAATGAGATCTACATTGTAAAAAAAAAAAAAAAATGGTAAATGAAAAGGGAAGGTAAAACCACGTTATGATAAAAACTTTTTAAAGAAAGATAAGTTTTGTAGCTAACAAAACAACAGGATCTAGTTACCTTTGAGGTCAGCTCTTTTGATGAGACACAAAGGTTTGAAGCCATGCATCATCAACAGCCCATTTAAGTTTTTCCATTCTTCTTCCTCCTGCTACAACCACGGTAGAGAAAAAAGGAATGATTTTTATGATGTGAAGAAAAACCTTCTCTATGACTTCCTATAAGAACCTATAAGAACCTTTTCCAAAAGACCTCTGATTTCAGATGTACGTGTTTGTATATCTGCATGCAGGTATGAGCACATTAAGTCCACGCGCTGCGAAGACTAGACGAAAGTGTCAGCTCCTGGAGTGTGAGATGGTTGTGAGCGACATGACACAGCTGCTGGGAAATGAGCTAGGATTCTTGAAGACCAGCAAATACTCTGAGCCATCACTCCAACACTCAGAAGGTTTTTAAGATTCTTTTCCAGACAGAGTCTCACTATATAGCCCTGGCTGAACTCAAACCGGAATAAATTTAATATAAATTGCACGTTGACAGGAGGGACTCAGTTGAAGGCTCCCTCCCCTCCCAGTTCTTGTCCACTGAACAAGCACAAATAGAAAGAGCTGCCACTGGTGCTGCCTTCTCTTCTCCTATGCCTGTATCTTAATGTTCTATATTATATTGTGATGGTTAGAAACTTCATGGATAGTTCCTGCTTACTTAAATTCAGACAAGCCTGGGCTACCTCAGAAAGCCCCTTTGCTTGCTTTTGCCATCCTCAAAGTCACGGAGCAGGCAAAGAAAGCATTTGTGAATACACCATGCAGTCACTCAATACCCTCAAGCCCTGTGGTGTTTGATATGTGTCCTCTGATGACTGACCAACCATTATGATCAGTAATAGCAGGCCAGGGAGCTACCTGGGCAGCCACACCTAGCCTCCATTCTCCTTACCATCATACCCTAAGAGGAGCCATGGCTGCCCCAATCACCATCACTTCAACCACAAACAGCAAGACAGAGAGACATGGCAAGCCACCCCTGCCCCCACACCCTTAGACGCCAAGCTGAGAACCATGGACAACAGGGGACAACAGGGCCACTAGGATCCTAAATCAGCTCACTGTAAGAAATCGATATTGGGGGGTGGGGGTGTGCTGGAGAGGTAGCTCAGTGGTTAAGAGCACTGGCTGCTCTTCCAAGGGACCCAGGTTCAAATCCCAGCACTCACATGGAAGTTCCAGGGATCTGACACTCTTGCACAGACATACATGGAGGAAAACCACAAATTTAAATAAGATAAATTATGAAAAAGAAATGGATATGGTTTCATTAACAGGAATGATACACCACAGATGATACGTGTGCCCATCAGACTCCCAATAAGAATAAGCCCAAGAAGAACCTTTAAGAAGTATTGGATGTAAAGACTTAAGTTTGATACTATTAAAAAAAAAGGGGGGGGGGAAGCAGCAAAGGTTACAGGCACTGTGGTGTTGCAGTTCAAGACAAGAAGTAACCGTTATAAATGACACCCACATCACAGGCGTCCTCCATGCAATTACAAGAACGTGAGATCTGGGGAAAGAAGGCAGGATCAGAGAGCCCAACAACACAGGCCCTACAGCAGGTAAAGGTTTGTACCTTCCTACACAAGGAGGTCATATGGGTGTCAACCATGGCATTTCAAACTGCCCTGGTGCAGGGAAGTGAGGGAGGTTGTTGCCTCTCAAAATGCAGTGGAGCAAGCCAGACCAGAAAGACGGACTATGGATAGGGTTATAGACAATGATTCTACATGGCTGTCTTCACCAAGACGGCATGGAGGAGAAGGCAACAAAGTGAAGGGAAATCAAAGAGATGAGACCCAGTGTCAACAGTCACCTCAACATAAGTATCAGAGCAACATTAAGCGTTCATGCAGGTGCCAAAAGAACTGAAACACAAAATGGCAGAGATAAAATGAGGCAGCTGGGAATCATCCACTCCTGAGGCTGAGCAAGGCAGGGCAGGGCAAATGCTGGCTCACCATCTCTATCCTCATCTGGCTTAGTCACCAAACAAGAAACAAATAGGAAACTCCAGAAACAAAAAGCAAACAAGAGACTGGAACAGATGTTAATTGCTTGCTTTTTGCCAATTAACCAGGACCCAAGATTTATTCTGTGACAATGCAATATAGAGTTTTATTGTTTTAATATAAACTTTTTTTTTGTATGTATGTGGGTGTTTTGCCTGCATATATGTCTGTACCTGGTGCCTGAAGAAGTCATAAGAGAACATCAAATTCCCTGGAACTGGAGTTACAAACAGTTGTGAGCCACCACTGGTGATAATAACTTTTTTTTAAAGCCTGATTTTACTCAATACATCTTTAAAGTTTCTTTTAAAGACTTTATTATTTTTACTTTTTGTATGCTGTTCTAGAGGTCCTGAGTTCAATTCCCAGCAACTACATGGTGGGTCACAACCATCTATAGTGAGATCTGGTGCCCTCTTCTGGCATGTAGGTGTACATGCAGACAGAGCACTCCTACATTGAAAGAAAGGGAGGGAGGGAAGGAAAGGAAGGAGGAAGGAGGAAGGAGGAAGGAGAAAGGAGGAAGGAGGAAGGAGGAAGGAAGGAAGGAAGGAGGAAGGAAGGAAGGAAGGAAGGAAGGAAGGAAGGAAGGAAGGAAGG